TCCCGTTACCAGTCAGTAAAAAAGGAAAAAAAAAAAAAACAACAACAACAACAACAACAAAATTCCCCTAGAACCAGTCATATTGGCTGATTTCATAATGTAAATTTACTTTCTTCAAGTCACATTCTGCAAACCTAGATTATGTATATTTTTAGAGCAATGCTTTTTCTCTTATCTTCTAATAAGAGCACTATAAGAAATATACAAGCTACTCAAAATCAATGTCTCCATGTTTGCAAGGCATGAAGTTTTTCACATTTTAAACGCTGAACTTGAAATATCTTAAAATGAATAGATATAATAAATAGGAGATATTTGGTTTTGCTGTTTCACCTCCTCATCCCTAACAAAGAGCTGTTACTAAACTGACAATAGGGTTTACAATTTCTGGCAACTTTTAATTATGATAAAAGGGAATATATATTTTTGAAAAAGAAAACAAAGCAATTTGCATGCATTTTCTTGGTAGCAACAGAAACTATTTATTATGGGGAATTTAGAAGCCGCTTGCTGGGAGCCAGGCAGGGTACATAATTTGCATGGAAGAGGGAGCAGATTGTGGAGGCCCTGACCTGTCAAACACAGGTAGGACCCCAGAGATAATGGGTCCCAGAATACAAAGCTCCATCTTGATCCAGACAGACACACACAACATGGAGAGGCCAGATGGATTAAATGAGAGACAAAAACGCTGGCTTCTGCCATCTCCCCAGGAAGAACATAAGTGCTACAGAAGTTGACAGATACCAGATACCACATGGATCACGCCCCCAGTCTCTTGGCCCTCATTGTCATGCCCGTGCCATGATTTCAGCCCTGCTGAGAAGAGACAAGCTTGTTCAGAGCCATGAGATAGTCACTGGGGAGGGGCTCAACCCCATGGATGAGAGCACTCAGTGGTGCCTGTGCCTAAGTGTCTCACTCAAGAGGAGGGACATGCTACGTGATGGCAGAAAATGAGACTGGAGCACTGCAGGGAACTCTCTGGTCCTTACCAGCCATCCTCGAGGCCCTCCATGGGTGGCTTTCCAACACCAGCCCACTCCCTACCTCAGTGTTCACAGAGGCACAGTATCCTCCCAGGACGTCCTGTATAACAGAAAGACTGTCTGCTCAGGCAGTGATGCTCTTTTCAGAGCAATGTTCAATGGTGATATAGCATTTTAATTTCAACAGGCAGCTGTAACTGGGTTTCACCATGGAACAGGAATGGACCCTCTGCAATGGCAGGATGTGCATCAAGAGGACACACTGCTTAGGGACAGGTCCGCAAAGGCGAGGATGCAGGAGCATGACCACAGTGACAGAAAGTGTGCAGAGCACGCTGTGAAAGTCCACAAGCCAGACTGTGAAAAGGATGGCATTTAGGAAACTAAAGGAGGAATGAACTGAGCCAGCTTCTTTCTCACAACTGGAGGCATAAAAGGCCTTTTTTCTCTGGTCATATGTAAAGTGATGCCACCCTGGACGGTGTCCAAAGACTTTGCTGAGAGGCACTGAAGGTCTAGTACATGCAAGGTCCAGTGTGGGACAGACGAGGTATTGTAAAAATCCCTCCCATCCCAATTACTGCACACCGAAAGTCTCCCTTCATTCCTCTCTCCCTCCCTCCGTCCCTCTCTGTCTCACACACTGGTGGTAGTTATGCAGGAGCTTGCAGCCACTCAAACGTTCCCTGAATCCTGTGATCTGCTAGGCCCTGTGCTGGGTGACACAGGACTAAAACAGACACGGTGGCATCTTCCTTCGGGGCCTCACGGAAGGTGAGAGAGGTTGGCTGGCAGGATGTTGGTAGATAGTGAATGGGTATGCAGAATAATGGAATGTTATAACTAGAACAGACCTCAGAAGCTATCTAAATTATCTAAGCCAGAACTTTTAAAACTGTTCCTAAAAACTGCAAGCCACCCCCCACTTTTAAAACTAGAATTTACATCGAACCCTAATGGAGAGAAGTGATTTAAAAACCAGCTGTTGAGGCAGAAGAGCAGTGAGGGTAGGGGGAGGGCTGACATTGGTGGCCTTGTCCACCCCCCAGAACCACGGAGGTGCCTCCCTCTACCAGCGGTCACAACACACAACGTGAAAATCAACAATCTAGTTGTCCAAATCTTCAGTTTTACAAATGAGGAAATTAAAGCTCAAAGGGTTGAAGTAGTTTGACTAAAATCCCAAATCTGTTAGAAGACTGTGGATTGGGATGCAAGTCATCTGAATCCCACTTCAGTGCCCAGCACACCCTACTAATAAAATTTCAACAACTCAAATTGCAAAAATTTGAAATTTGCAACAGTTGCTTTTTTTTTTTTTTTTGCCATATCCAAAGTTCAACAGAATGGTCTGGTAAAAAATAAAAACAGGACTGTTGAAAAATATGGCATTTTGTGGCTGTAGGTGCAGCATGATTAGGTCACTTGACAGAAGTGTCTTTCCCAGCGCTTATGCAGAACATCACCTTTGGTTCACAAATTGTAATGTGTCTGTTCACTTGTTTTTCTTTTTCTCTTGAGGAAAGTTGAATGAATAAATTTGAACATACTGTTATTTCCCATTAGAAATCTGTCACTTCCCATTAAAAAAGGAAACTAAGTTTTATAGGGACAAAATTAGATGTCCACATTGGTGGGAAACTCTAGAGGCTATCCCTACAGAATTAAGATCATACCTTATATTCATATGTATCTCTCTGCCTGTTGCCTTTGAAATGAGACACATTATATGAGAAAACCACATTTTATAAGGGAACTTAAATTGCATTTTAAGCCAAACAAGAAAAAAGTTCAGAAGCATCATAAGTTGCAGATGCTTTAAAAAAACATACTGAGGGGCCAAAGAACTTTTTTTTTTTTTTTTAATTAAATATACACCCAGGAAAGACAGAGGCAAGATCTAGAAGTGGCAAATAATATTGGTTAGGATGGCAAGGAACCATCATTGTAATAAGAGAAAACTCAGTGAGGTCAAAAACTCATATGACTCAGGATCTTGGAGACCAGGCTTGGCAGCAAAAATAGGAAATATGTTCTTCATCTGGTGAGAATAGTCTGCATATATTTGAAATCACTGGCTGATCACAGTGAAAAAACTGTCCAGATTTAGATGGGGAATTAGGCGGAGGTGGGTAGAGCGTAGCAATCCTCTCCCTAAGTTTTGCTTTGCATTTCACATTATGGCAGAAATATTCATCTTCACAAACACATTATGTGTTATAGGCAAAAATTACAGATTCTGCTTTAAATCTTCTCAGAATGTGATCTTTTTTATTTAAAACTCTTCTTCCCCACCACAGTATTCCTTAGGTGTGTGTGATAGAAATGGTCCACCCAAATGTTAAATTGCGGTGATTTATAATTCACATAAATTACCTCTGTCTCTGCTTAACTTGGGGCTGCAATGCCTCCAACTTTTCTTACAACAGTTAGATGGGTAGAGTCACATCTGAGGTTTAAAAAACTAAAATGTAAATTAGTAGCTGTGAATATAAGCTAATCAACAATTTTTACTATTAGGACTCCTACGTCCTTTCTTTTCTAAGTAAATACATGAATTGAGTTTTTCCTTTTGTTGGTGCAGGGGAGGGGAGACAGCTGGCTGGTAGGCATTATTTTTAACTAGAATGGTTATTTTTATACAACAAATGTTTAAGTATAAAGGTAACTCCCCAGGAGCATACATTTGTATGTATTTAGAAATGTTACATGGAAAACATACTGGTCATTCATAATGCCTTGGACTTTCAAAAATCTTAGCTTAAAATATTTTGCAATTTGGAAGTACATACACATGCACAAACATGTCTTGCTAGTTCAAGAAAAGCAAAAGTAATTCCTAAAAGTCAAACAAAATTATGTTTTTAAAATCATAGATTATTGCATGTATTCATTGGAGATATCTCTTTTATATACATGATACAGAAGTGGTTTTCAAACATTTTGGGGTCAGGATAACTTTACAGACCTCCAAAAATTATTAAGGACTCCAAATAACTTTTTTTTTTTTTTTTTTTTTTTTTTTTTTTGTTTTTTT